TTGCTGAAGAGTTAATTCAGACATTGGCTAATCAGGCTGTTCGTACCAATTCCCCTTTCTGGGTGGTCTGTCAAAACAAAAATAGAACAAAAATGTAGGCAAAGAAAATAGCATTCCCTGGAGGTTTAATGCCATACAAATCTGAGTGACATTGAGGGTACGTCTAGTCTGAAGGCTTCTTTCGAAAGAAGCTTTTTCAGAAGAGATCTTCCGAAAAAACTTCCAAAAGAGAGCATCCACACTGCAAAAGCACATCAAAAAAGCGATCTGCTTTTTCGAAAGAGAAGGTCCACACTCACTGGACGCTCTCTTGCATGTAAGCTGTGATTACTATGCACGGAGTGGCCACTAGGTCACCTGTGCTTTTTCCTGGAGGCCTCTTCTTTCGAAAAAACTCCCTCTTCTGCGTCCACACATACCTTTTTCCGAAAGAGCTCTTTCAGAAAAGGCATTCCTCCTCATAGAATGAGGTTTACCAATGTTGGTAAAATCCCTGCGTTCTTTCGATTTTCTTTCGAAAGACTGTGATTGCAGTGTGGATGTCAGTGAAGCTTTTTCAGAAAAATGGCTGTTTTTCTGGAAAAAAAACCCCTGCAGTCTAAACGCACAGCTTCACTATTTCCTTTAGTAATCGGTTGATTTTTTTTTCTAGTAACATGACTTTTTTAACCATAGACCTACTTTTTGTAGCCTCACTAACAGTTTACCAACATGAAGTTGGTGTTAATAGCTTCAAAATAATACCGCCCTTGTCCTTTTCAGTAGGAACAGAGCAGAAACACCTGGAAGACAAAAAGGACTTGATCTACACTAGGACTTTATTTCAAAATAACCCCCCCAAAGGTCAAATTTATAAGTGGAGCGTCCATACTACCAAGCCCGTTATTTTGAAATAACGGGCTGTGGAATTCAAAGTCTTTACTCCTGCTTTTCATCAGGAGTAATGTTAATTCCAAAACAGTTATTTCAAAATAGCGGTCGTGTGAATGCTCCGGTGTCACTATTTCAAAATAAATACTCCCCAGGGTCATTCAAACTAATTACTCCCTAGTAGTGCTTCCTGGGGCTCCAACTCTGAGGTAGTGTGTCCACATTAAGGGAGCCTACCCCGGACTCATTTTGAGGTGCCTCCGTAATGTGGACACGCTATTTTGATTATGGTAAATTGGGAGTTATTAAGTCAAATTTACTAATTTCAAAATAGTTTCCTAGTGTCAGCATGGCCCCAGGGTTAACAAAATTCGAAGGGTCAAACCTTGTAGGTCAATCCAAGCTCTCAGTGATGTCAACATTTCTGTGCCCAACAGGGCTGACCTTTTACTCACAAAGGTGAGCATTTACTGTCATGAGCTATTACTGAAAGCTCTCAACTGTAGTGATGGCATGGACTGATATGGGGAGCTCATTAACAGCTCCCTAAACACAGGTTTCCCCTTTTAATTTCTATCTTGGCAGGAGGCAAGACTTTCTGGAAAGTTTCCTGAAAATCTGTTCAGCTTTTTTGTTTGGTGGTTTGGTTTTCCATTCGTGTTAAAAAAAAATCAGTCACTTTTGAACAAGGCTGTGTCTACAGTTGAGAGATGGGTGAAAAAGATGTCACTAAAATGGACAGGGAAAGTGTGTGTTTCTCTAAACTCTCAATGAAATCTACAAAATAAGGCAGGTATGAACAGGGACTCTGCTGTATCTTAACACACTGCATACGGCACAGCATAAGAAATGGGGAGTTTATAGCCAGGGGTTTTGTACTGATTTTGACCTGTGCAGAATTCTTCCACATCAATAAATCTGAGCAAAGGTCCATGGCTCTCCATTTTGACACCACATCTAGGTCCCCGATCAAGGCCCATGCAATGAAAAGGTCAATGTATAGTCATAATACAAGGAGAGAGTATACGTTAAGACAGTGTTTCTCAGCCAGTGGTACGAGTACCCTTATGGGTACTCAAGAGAAGCCTGGGCGACACGTCAACACAACCGATATTTGAAGAAAACAGAATTTTTGTTTTGAGTTTTACAGCGCTTTATTATTTTTGTCCTTTTTACACACAAAAATTTCATCACCCACCTGGCTACGATTAAGTTGTTTAAACAAATGTGTTGCAATGGTAAAAAAAAAATGGTGTGTCTGAAAACTGTAGATACTTGGGGGTACTTATAATTTTTTTTTAAAGGAGTATTTTATAAAAAAAAGGCTGAGAAACACTGCTTTAAGACACAGTACAGGGAGAAGAGCTAATGCTAAACTTTTGTTAACTCTGTGTTTCCTCTCTTCTGGTTGCTTTAGTCACACCCACGACATGGCTGGCTGTTTGCATGAACTTCGCTATGAAATAAAGTATCAAACCTCATTTGAATCCCCCGAAAACCGCCTGGTCTATCAATTTTCCTGGTGTGACGAAGTTTTGATAGAACTACGTATACTAAGGGAGGCGGATAAAAAAAGGGAGGTTTATAGCACCCCATCCATTCCCAACTACAGCTTTGTTAAAAGGGGCGGAAAGTGTTTTCAGCAGAGGGCACCAAAAACCAGCGTTCCGCTTTCTTTTCAAAAATTTGACACCCGAGTATTGTAAATCTCTGCAAACCAATGACAAGGACCTAGTGTGCTCCATTTTGACACCACACCCAGGCCCCCGATCAAGGCCCATGCAATGAAAAGGTCAATGTATAGTCATAATACAAGGAGAGAGTATATGTTAAGACCGTGTTTCTCAACCAGTGGTACGAGTACCCTTAGGGGTATTCGAGAGAAGTCTGGGCGACACATCAACACAACTGAAATTTGGAGAAAACTGAAATCCTTCAGCCCCTTCTAGCACCCCACCCAATTTAACTTTGCCCTCGGGAGACACGCCTGCCCTGCAAGTCAATGTGCGATTACAAGACAGGTCCGCCTAATTTGCACAGGACACGACGGTTAGTGCAGACAGGGGGTGGCGAGCAACCAAAGAAGATATGCAGGCTCCCTCATGACCATACTTTGGTCTGCAATGGAAAGGTGATGCTGGTGGCATTCTCTCCACTGCGGGCCAGATTCTCCACTGGTATAAACACATTTCTTTACAGCAGCGGAGGATTTCCCCATTTTCGTCACCCTGCTCTCTGTCTGCCCTTCCTGCGCTCCCAAGCCTGTATCTAGTTCTGGCTCTGACTCAGGCATGGCGGTTCGTGCAGGGCCTGTGTTCCGTATGGTGCCACGCCTGTCTCTGGGCACTCACGCACAAGCATGGAGGAGAGGACTCCAATAACGCACACGACTATTGCAAAGGCTGGACTGCAGCACGGGGAGGGCTTGTCGATACAGCGAGGGGCTGCATGACAAGCAAGGGTGTGAAATGAATGTAGAGCACACCGGCTGGCCACACGCCAGCTGGCCGCATGGACCCTGTCAGGGGGGTTAAACACTAGAATAAATTGCCTAAGGAGGTTGTGGAATCCCCATCTCTTCTGTGGCTGGGGTTTGTTTCCTACCTCTGGTCTGTGCTCATCCATAGGAACCCAGCCGGGACTCGCCCCTGGCTCTGACATGACAGGAGTTCAGAGAGTCATGCTGGCAGCTGGTTTCTCTTGGTGAGGCCAAAGGCAGCCACAGCCCAGCACCCAGAATGACCTAAATCACGTAACCTGAGTCTGATTAACTTTTCCCCAGGCTGAAGAGCTGTGTGCTGCAGCCTATTAGTGCCCAAGGATGGTATGCGTACAATCTTTATGCATGCCTGAACAGATCCTATCAGCTACCTTTCATTACCTCCCTGCTCAGTGCGAGAGGTCTTTGTTATGCTAAGCAGATAGCCTGTAATCAGAGCTACCTGCTGCATGTGGAGGGATTTCTCCTTCCTGCCAACGCAAATGCTGTTAGATAAATATTTCCTTTGCCTTATGGAGACCTTCTACCCTCTCTGAAGCAATGTCCATGGATCAGATGAATGTGTCCCAGGAATCTCATGGTTCACAGGATGCTGCTTTCTTTGCGCTTCTCTTTTCAGGGGCTAGTACAGCGTACAGACAAATGGATCGGGGAGGCAGTGGGTAGAGAGAGACCCAGGCTCTGTTCTTGGCCAGTCCACAGATCTACTTGTGTAACTTTGCGCAAGTCACTTCCCTTTTTCGTGATTCCCCTGCCTCTTTTTCTTGGCTTGTCTATATAGCCTGTCCACTCTTCAGTGCCAGGACTAAGGGCCACAGTGGGGGTAGGTCCTGGACCTGACATGAGCTAGAACTGAGCCAGGCTGCTGGCCAGCCTGTTAAAATTTTTACTGGCGGGCGGGGGGGAGAGGGAGAAGAGGAGAATGCGTATAGTCTACAGCATTAACCTATACATTTTTGCTTATCAGTTAATCAACTACACTATTACACCCCTAATCTGCATCTGATTGGTGATCCACAAATACGGTCAGCAGATATGTGCAGATTTGCAGAGCTCTAGACATAAAATCTGATGCACATCCATCCGCAATCCACACACATGGTCTGTGGATAGTTACCAACCAATGAAAAGCAACCCTTCCTTAGAAAATAACTAAAAAGCACACAATCAAAGCACAACTAAAATCAGTGATTCAAATCAACATTTCCTGCTTGCTAATTTAAATCACTTTGATTTGGCTCAGCCTACCCGGACAAGGACTGTCCATTATGCGCTACATCACACAGCACAATGTGGCCCCAATCTCATTGGAAGTGTCTTGGCTCTACTGATATTTGAATCAGATATCCAGTAAACTTTTCAGACCTAAGGCAGGAAACTAAGTATGCACTGTCAACAACCCTGCCTACCTACAGGGCACGCTTCAAAGAATTCGCCTTTATCTTTCATTTGAATAATTGTCTACATCTAAAGAACCAGGTAGGGGAAGAGGGGTTGTTATGCCTGTAAGGGTCTGATCCTGCCCTGAGTTCTGACAGGGAGACTCATCACAGAGTCTGGGGGTTGAGAGCAGAGTGTGTCAAAATGCAGGAAGAAAGTCATCAAGTTCAGGAGCTCCTCTAGCACGTACCAGCTCCAAATGCGAAGAAGAAACTCTTGTCGGGGTATTCCTCCAGCAGGTCCTTCACCCTCCTTCCCATCCTCTCATTGCGCTTGTAGATCAGCTCTTGGCGGAAATAGGTGTCTATCTCCTGGGCAGTGATGCGCTCGTGGGGCGGCAGGGTGGCGTTGATGAAGTTTGGGACCTAGGCAAGAAAGAAAAATCTTTGTGGGAGTGAAAACATGGCAAACAACCCCCTCTCTCTCTCTCTCACACACACACACACACCACAGAGTTGTAAGTGTTGTGTCTCCCCTTGACTTTGCTCAGTGCTGAGCTCCAGAACAACAGCAACTGAAGCGACTTTGGAAGGCACCACCCGTAGCTTGTGAAGTCGGAAGGGACCCCTACATCATCCAGTTGAACCTCCTGCCTGGCACAGGCCTCCAGCCCATGCATGCCAACCTCCACCCCCACTGAAATGGGACCAAAGGGTGAGGACTCAATTATTAAGCACTGCAGGCAGGAACCAAGGAGCACTAGTGCCTGTAGTGATGGGGACGTGATGGAGTGAGACACACGTAGAGAACCTTGGCAAATGCACCACATGCTGCTGAGGAAAGTGAAGAACCCCCATGGTCACTGCTCATCTGACCTTGGGAGGAGGGGATTCCTTCCTGACCCCCCACAGGGTCATCAGTTTGACCCTGAATTTGTGAGCAAGACCCAGCCAACCAAACATCTGAGAGAGTTCTCCATGCTACCTCTGAGCCCGAATCCGCTCCATCCAACATCCCGTCTCCAGCTGTAGCCGTCCCTGATGCTTCAGAGGAAGGAGATTAAAAAATAATATCTCCCAGAATCATTAGAGGGGAGGAGCTCCAGGAGAAAGAGGAGGAATGTCGGTCTTGCTCGCTCCCTCCCCTAGCTGGCTCCCACTGGGTCTTCCAGCCCCTAGAATTGGGCAGGGGGTTATTTTGGTTTCCCCGCCCATAAGGTGTGAGCATTGTTGGGATCACATCCTACCAATTAAGAACTGCCAGGTTTAGCCTACTAGGGCAGTCGACAGTCGCTATGGAACCTAACTCGCATGCAATCTGTCTCTGAGGGCGACCTTTATGCAGTGGAGAAAAAAGACTGTGGTGTAGGTGAAGGACAATTTGTCCCTCAAAGACACAGCATGGTAGCAACGGGGCAGTTTGCCTCTGGGGCCCGGAAGCAAGTTCTGTGTGATCGTCTGTGAAATGGGTGTAATAAGGCTTCCTTCTGCCGCAGAGCGCCTGGAGACCCACTGAAAAATGCTACATAAGAGCTAGGCCCTACGTCCTGTTACTGTGGCCAACAGTTCACTCAGCTGCGACCCTGGGGCGATGGGGAAGCATGCACAACAGAGATGGTGTCGCATTCATGGAGCTCAGTGCCGGGAGAGGGCAAAACGGAGTGAAAACAGCAGTTCCAGGTCCCCAGCGGACCCAGGCAGGCGACAGACTTTGCGGTGCCCTGGGCAATGAAGGGGGTGGGGCTCAGCTCCGTCCTTGAGAAGAAGGGGCGGGGCTAGGTGCAGCCAGCCCTCAGAGCCATTCCTCCCTCGCCCCACCCTCAGCGCCTAAGGCTCCGGCGGTGATTTAAAGGCTGGAGGCCCGGCCTCTTTAAATTGCTGGGCCCTGAGGCAACTGCTCTCTTTACCCCCCTCCCACCCATTGGCGGCCCTGAGCGCACCCCGCTTTCTGCGCTCTGCCACAGAGGGAGGCCTCAGACCCGCAGGGAACCCCTCCTGCCACCAAGCTCTCGCTCAGCTCTGTGAGGCCGAGTCCTCCATTTCATGGGCAGACCCAAGTTGCTAGGGAGACCCTCACGCTCGGCTGTCGTCAGAAGTGTGTTGTCTGCACTTGGGGTTCTCTCTCCACTACCCTGACAAGGCCAAGTGATTCCTGACTGGGCATTTGCCTGGCGTTAATAGTATCGGCTCACTGGGGCGTCCCATCACGTTGCTTGCGAGACTGTTCCCGCAACTGGCTCTCCGTGGCTTCATACCTGTTTCCTGATCGTCAGCCTAGTCCTGACCCTTCTTTGTTTCCTCCCAGTTCTCCCCCACACAGGCCGTGTCTCCATGACAAAGTGGTACAGACCTAACTCCGTCCCGATAATGGGGATGCATTATGTCTGCACGACAAAGTGGTACAGTCCTAACTCCGTCCCGATAATGGGGATGCATTAATGTACACACACCCTTATTCTGGCCGTTCAGCGCTCCTGGTACAAAGCACGTTTACACCGGTACAATTGCACCCGCACTAGCTGCATGCCGGATTGCCCTGGTATAACTATAAACTAACTGAAAGAGTGATACCGATACGAAACCTGAACACAGACCAGGCCAGTTGCGCCTTTCTGCCTTCCTGCATAACCCCTCCCTCTTGTGCTTACATGCCTCCAATACCTCTTCTTCGGCACCTCTTTGCCTGCCAGGAGGCTCCGTGCAACAGCATGCCTACGGAAGAGCAGCATTCAATGCAAAGCACGCCCTGGCCCGAGACGGGGCTCCAATACACACCCGACAGCGATAGGGACGCGTATGAAAATGGCACACACTGTCAAAGGGCAAACAATGCAATCAGCTCACAGAGCTTGACAAATGCCAAGTAGCCAGTTCATGCCCCACCCCTGCGAGGAGGTGACTGCCACGGGGGTGGAAATACAGGCACAAAAAGGCTTGTGACTGGTCAGTTTTTCACATTGGCTACAATAAGACTCCCAAATGTGTTGCCACTGGCACAAAAAGCCTGTTCTTGCTCTCCACCCAGGGCTAAGCCGTCCCTGCCCTTATACAGCCTCGTGCCAAAGCGGCCTTGTATTTTTCAAAGTGACCTCTGGGTGCTAAAATTCCCATCCCATCTGCTTAGAAAAGCAGCCACTCAGGCAGCCAGTTAGCTATCTTTGCCCATGTTTGCAAAGGGGCCTATCTCAGGAACAACAGTGTGACCTAGTGGTTAGAGACACAGACTGGGAGAAAGAGGATTTGAGTCCTGTTCTGGCTGGCATAACCAGGCTCGACACTTGGCCCAATGTAAACCAGATGTAATTCAAAAGACAAATTTCCGGATCTAGAGCCGGGTCTCAGGTGCAGAATCTGGCCCACCGGCCTGCTGCGTCACCTCAGGCTAGCCCCACAGGGCCGGATTCTCCCAGACGCTGGGAGCCCACACGTACAAATCAAATATGCAGGGAGTGGGAGCGCTCGGCACCTTTGAAACACAGGCCATTAACCTCTTGCGGCCTCATTCTCCCCATCTGTCGGCTGGGCTTAGGCCTGATTTTCTTCCCCACTGACACTGCGAGAGGACAGGCAGACCCTGAGGTGCTAGGCTGTTCACAGATAAACACCTGCAGGCGGGACAGAGCACCATGGAATCCAGGGCAGAGCCACAGCAAAGGGGTTTGCAACCAGGGCAGAGCTCTGCAGCATAAAACCAAACACGCACATTACCATAAACCCACCCGAGAGGCTCATACTGGCCCCAGGTCCAGGGGTGGCATCCGTCCGCCCCACAGGCCTTCTGCCTTCCCAGAAGTCTCTCTGCTCGCGTCTCCACCGGCGGTGAGCAACCTCGGGCTTGCAGGCCACATGTGGCCCAGGGGGGTTCTATGTGCGAGACGTTTCGTTTCCCGTTGCCCACGCGCAGGGTGGCCAGATTCTGCCGGTTTCAATTCACCCAGTTTATTCCTCCCGATATTATGGAAGTGACACGCACGTGAAGCCAGGACACGTGCCATGAGGCGCGGGCTGACTGCACGCAGCACTGACAGGGAGAGCCGCGCGCTCCCTCTGCGTCCAAAGCGCTGCTGCGGTTCAGGCGGCGCCCGCAGCAAACTCTCGGTACGCCGGCGCCGTGAGCACAACTACCCATCCCGGGAGACTATCTTGGTGACAACAATCTTTGCAGCCCACTAAGATGAGGGAGGGCCACTCACGAGCCAAGGTTGCCCATCGCTGGTTCCCAACCCGGGGAGATGGACTTGCTCAAGTGAGAGTGTCTTCCTGGCCTGGAAGGCTCATTCCCAGCAGGGGTGTTAACGCACCCCCTGAAGCCTGGTCTGCACCTGGAGGGTTTGCCGGTGTGGCTGGGTCAGTGAAGAGGGAGAAAGAAATCACACCCCTGGCCCACATCGCTGTGCTGGCAAAACGCCCACAGTTATACTAACAATAAGAGTCTTTCACCAATAGAGGGGAAATGGTTTCCACTCTACAGGCAAAAGCAGCTATAGAATCCCAGGGCTGGAAGAGACCTCAGGAGTCATCGAGTCCAGCCCCTGCCCAAAGCTGGATCAATCCCAACTCAATCGCCCCAGCCAGGACTTTGGCAAGCCAGGACTTAAAAATCTCCAGGGATGGAGAGGCCAACCCCTCCCTAGCTAGCCCAGGAAAGGGCTTCTCCACCCTCCTAGGGAAATAGTTTGTCTTAATATCCAAGCTAGACCTATCTCATAGAGCTGGAAGGGACCTTGCATCGTCATTGAGTCCAGTCCCCCACCCTCATGGAAAGACCCAGTACCATCCCAGACAGATTTGCCCCCGAGCCCTAAATGGCCCCCTCAAGGATTGAACTCACAACCCTCAGTTTAGCAGGCCCATGCTCAGACTATGGAGCTACCCCTCCCCACTGCAACTTGAGACCCCTGCTCCTCATTCTGCTATCTGTCAGTCTTGCCAGTGCAAACACACAACTCCTCCCCACATCAGGTATCGCCTGACCAGGAGGCAAGCACAATCATTTGAAACCCGCCCCCCCTCCACCCGCATTTCTACGACACAAAGCAAACAAACGGTTCCCCGTACAGGTAACGACCCTCGGACCTCTTTGGCGCGGAGGCAGCCCCGCCCGTGGAAGGACGCCCACGGGCCGGGAAGGGCGGCCGCAGGGAATTCTCTGTTCCTCGGGGGCGAGGGCGAAGAAGAAGGGGCTGCAGCAGCAAGACTCACTTGAGAAGTGTCATGGCTGAAGATGATGGAGTTGAGGTCCCCACAGTTGTAATGCTTGATAAGGTCCTCGGTCGTATAGGGGGTCTGGAGGCTGCCTGCTCGGAGGCTCTCCTGTTGCAAGAGAGTCTGATTCAAAGCAAAGATCACCTGAGGGAGGGAGGAGGGAGGAAAAGACAGAGTTCCTTATAAGCGCTTGGCGAGAAGATACATAACAAGCATCTTCACCTCTGCTCCCACGTCGAAAGAGGCCACCCATGTCCGTCACCCCCCCCCCTTGCAAAGTGATAGCGATGTACAAACCGGAAAGGAGCTCGCATGGCGGGGGGGGGGGCTCACCCGAACCCCAGAGGCTGGGGGCGTCAGACAGGAGATGCAGACTGTGGGAGCTCTGTTCCTGCCTCGCTGGGGGCTGCAATGGGACGAGGGACTCAGAAGCAAGGGGAGGGATGGCCGAGTCAGGTGCAACCCAGGAGAGATAAGGCCCTTGCTGGAGACACCCACGCCTCAGACCTCTGTGGCACTTTCTGCTTTTGCACTGAAGGGGGGCCAGTCTGCACCGTCAGACAGGAGATGCAGACTGTGGGAGCTCTGTTCCTGCCTCGCTGGGGGCTGCAATGGGACGAGGGACTCAGAAGCAAGGGGAGGGATGGCCGAGTCAGGTGCAACCCAGGAGAGATAAGGCCCTTGCTGGAGACACCCACGCCTCAGACCTCTGTGGCACTTTCTGCTTTTGCACTGAAGGGGGGCCAGTCTGCACTGCTCAGCACGTCACTGGCATCCCACGCAGGAAGGAATACGGCTTGAGCCCAGCTCTGCTCACGGACTCTGATGGGCTTGAAACACCTGATTACGAGCCGCCCTTCATACGGGCGCTTTCCTGAATTAGGGCCTTCGAGAGCACCACAGGACAGGGCCCATGGGCTGCACCAGCTGCCTGACTGAGTTGAAGGTGAGGATTTTTCCTGAAGACACCTGAATGGATTTGGTCCCCACAGCACCTCTGTCTAAGCAGGGTGGCGTTATCTGCTCCGAACACAGGACCGACATCCTGGGTCAGGCGGCAAAATGACTCTCTTCTTGAGGTTTGCCTTTCCGGTTCATATCAACAAGAAAACCAGGGATGTTAGTGATCGGGCAACTGAATAATCGTGTAACCGCGTCAAATTTTAGCAGCTGCATGACTATTTGATAGTCCCTGGGCCAGGGCCAGCAGCCAGTGATGCATAAAGACCCAGTCTGAAACCAACCTACCATGGCCAGAATAAAGGAATTCATCTCTTCAAACCTATGACAAGACACCGAGAAATACTTCACACAGTCTTTCTGACGTAAATACTCGCTATTGCCCTGGAGTAGGTAGCCTTTACGGAAAGGTGGGAGCTGTAACACCGACAGGCGGAGTTGAACCCAGGACCTCTGAGCATGAGCCTCTACAGCTTGAGCTAAAAGCCTGCTGCCTCTCAGCTAAGGCCATAGAGCGCAGTCGTTTTCTCTCTCTGTACGTGATCTGAGCGCCACGCCATATGACAGTGCACCACACCCAGAAGCTGTGTGGGTTATCTGTGCACCACAAGGGTGTGACACTCAACAAGGCTCTCCTGGATATTGAAATTCACCGTGGCAGCTACTAGCTATGGTTGCAGGAGAGGAAACGTCCGTTTACTGTTCTAATCAAGCGGCGAGGAGTCCTGTGGCACCTTAGGGTATGTCTAGACTACATGGCTCCGTCGACGGAGCCATGTGGATTTGTTTATTGGGCAAAGGGAAATGAAGCGGCGATTTAAATAGTCGCTGCTTCATTTAAATTTAAATGGCTGCCGTGCTGAGCCAACAAACAGCTAATCAGCTGTTTGTCAGCTCAGCGTGCTAGTCTGGATGCTCCGCGGTCGACATCAAAGCCCTTTGTCGGAAACCTCATCCCACGAGGAATCAGCTGTTTGTCGGCTCAGTGCGGCAGCCATTTAAATTTAAATGAAGCGGCAATTATTTAAATGGGATTAAACGGGACCCCAGTTTTCATTTTCCAGGAAGCAACATCCTCATTTTAGTTCCAAACAATCTAACCCACAGCTCTGCACCGTACTGCAGGAAGACCTCAAGTAAGAACAACTCCTGATCCAACACTTGCAGATTAGTTAGGATGTGTTCTCCTGCTTCCATAGTACCCCGCTGGGTATTCAGGGCTCCTTTGGTATTATCAGGAAGAGCCAAAGAAACTCAGCACCTTGCAAAACCAATCGTGCAGCATGGGGAGCAAGAAAAGTCAAGATATGCCAAATGCCTCAACAGAGCCTCGATTTCCCACAGTAATTCATAGCATCACGATTCATGCAGCTGCAGAGCAAATGCTGCTATTGCTAAAAAATACCACGTTGTGTGACGGCAAGTGCTGGCAGCAGAACACGGCCTGTTTGTCAAAGCCAGGCATACGGTTACAATGCAGCGAGGGCCCAGTGTGTCTTGATGAAGGAAGCAACATCGTAGTAGCCTGTGTGCCGCCGAAAGGCGCCGCTGCACATAGGGGCAGCATTTCCAACCCTCCCCATAAGAACAGCTATACTGGGCCAGAACAAAGGTCCACCCAGCCCAGTACCTTGTCTGCCGACAGTGGCCGATGCCAGGTCTCCAAGAGGGAGTGAACCGAACAGGTAATGACCAAGCAATCTCTCTCCTACTCCACCCTCTGACAAACAGAGGCCAGTGACACCATTTCTTACCCATCCTGGCTAATAGCCATTAATAGACTTAACCTCCATGAATGTTTCCAGTTCTCTTTTAAACCCTGTTATAGTTCGAGCATTCACAGCCTCCTCAGGCAAGGAGTTCCACAGGTTGACTATGCGCTGTGTGAAGAAGAACTTCCTTTTATTTGTTTTAAACCTGCTGCCCATTAGTTTCATTTGGTGGCCTCTAGTTCTTGTATTATAGGAACAAGTAAATAACTTTTCCTTATTCACTTTCTCCACACTGCTCATGATTTTATAGACCTCTATCCTATCCCCCCTTAGTCTCCTCTTTTCCAACTGAAAAGACCCAGTCTCTTTAATCTCTCCTCATATGGGACCTGTTCCAAACCCCTAATCATTTTAGTTGCCCTTCTCTGAACCTTTTCTAATGCCAGTATATCTTTTTTGAGATGAGACCACAGCCGTATGCAGTATTCAAGACGTGGGCGTACCATGGATTTATAGAAGGGCAATAAGAGATTCTCTGTCTTATTCTCTATCCCTTTGTTAATGATTCCTAACATCCTGTTTGCTTTTTTGACCGCCGCTGCACACTGCGTGGACATCTTCAGCGAACTATCCACAATAACTCCAAGATCTCTTTCCTGATTAGTTGTAGCTAAATTAGCCCCCATCATACTGTATGTATAGTTGGGGCTATTTTTTCCAATGTCCATTACTTTACATTTATCCAGATTACATTTCATTTGCCATTTTGTTGTCCAATCACTTAGTTTTTGTGAGATCTATACGCGCGAATGGTATCAGTTTGATTGGCTGCCCTGCCAGCTGCTGCCTCACACAGTGCTCCTGTTGAAAAGTTTATCTTACATATACAATGCTTGATTGATAGTCCTGGGGTTTCGTAGCAAGGAGAATCCCTGAGCTCGTGTGGCCGAGGTGTGTAATTTGTCTGACTGACTTGGTTTGGAGTTGATCAAACTTATTGAGGGTTACTGCCCAGAGACCATGTTAGTCCTGGGACAAAGGGCTGATATGGGAAGCCCTCAGTAATTCGACTTTCCAGCTCCGATTCTCACCTCACTATTCTAAACCAGGAAAGGTTCCACTGAGTCACACAGTGGTCAGGCAAGCACACAACCGGAATGAGGCCCACACTTGATTGAGAGCCTCTGAATTAGATGCTGGCACACAGTTAAAAATCTCCCAGCGAGCAGGAAAACGGAGCCACTGTGTTAGGACAGGGAGACGAGAATTCCAAGCTGGGAAAAGTCGGACAGAAATTTGCAAGAGTAAGTTGCCAAAGAATTTCACAAGTAATTCTGCATGTCGGAGGAGTGTTCAAATGAAGCCAAATTGTCCACAAGGTAGATTTCTATTCTCCGAGCTGCTCTTGTGTCACACTGCATTATATTAACTCAGAAATCTTCCTTGCACGGAGATCCACGGGAGATCACTCCAACCTTGTCCGGCTTTCAGAAATATTCCTTCCCCCCCCCTCCATTAAATGCATTCACGCCAGCATCAAAGCAACTCCTGAAAAGATGCATTCGGAGAACAAAAGTAACAAGTTTATTAGAAAGGTTTTGTCCCCCTCCCACCTCCCGTTTTCGCTCTCTTCCCTCCCTGCCTTCCCCACCTCTTTTTGTACTGTGGAAAAAATCGATTAAGCTCTCTGGTATATATATTGCCCCAAGTCTCTTTCTCCTCCCTGAGATTTCTTCAGCTGTCAGGGGACACTTGTCCCCTTTGCGGGCATTGTTGGAACAGCCTGCTAGGCTAAGGGGGTGGAGGAGAGGGGGTTAGAGCCCGGCAGATGCCTTTTTTGTCAAAGACAAAAGCCCCCCTGCCATCCTCTCCACTTTTCAGCACTTTCATCCAGCCCGGATCAAAGCGCTGCTCTGCATATGAAAGGGACCCGGCATTATGCGATTCAAATTAGCCTATCGCCACCCCGCTAGCCTCCCAGTCTTCCCAACAAAAGCGCTCACATCTGTTCCATCCTTTGCCTCATCTTCTGGGGGGGTTTCTCCGCTCTCAGGTTTGAGGGCCATTCAACCCCTTGAATTATAGTTTGGGGGAGCTTCTTCCCGGCTGTGGGCCTGCTCAGCCAGACCCTTTGCTTTTAACTGTCCCGGGGCGTCGCAGCAGCTTTGCCGTCCCCTCGCAGCTGCTCCCTGCGTCGGTCGCCGTCACCCCCTCAAGTGAGTCCGACGTGCCGCCTCTTGAGCTCATTTCTCTTCTCCCTCTTCACCTGAAGGGGCCTGGTCCCCTCTGCACCAGGGAACCCAGCCGCCCCGAATCAAAGGGAGACTAGAATCAAAGGCGTCGTGGCAATGAAAGTCAATAATCCTTCTTTGTCATGGTAATGGTGCGCGCCGAGTGCGGAGAAGAAAGCCGGGCTCCTGGCTTAGAGGCGAGGCCCTGCTTAGATGTTCCGTAGCTCCAGCCCCGCTCGCA